CACTCTATGAGGCAGGTGCTATTATATTTCCATTTTAAAGATGAAGAAATTGAGGCTCACAGGAGTTGCTCAAGGTCACAAGCCTATGAGTGAAGTAAGTGAGATTTGAACCCAGGGCTGTCTGGCTCCAGTACCTGAGTCCTACACCATTAGGCCATTCAACCTTTGTGATACAGGGACCAGCTGAAAAATGACTCTCTTAAATGGAGGTGACTTGTTAGGTCTAAAACTAGATTCCTTAGAGGAGTTTATGTGCTTTTTTAGCACTATATGTATTCAGCATATAACCATGATAAAAGAGCTTTTCCTGTTAAACATATATTACTCACTAGGAAATCTGGCTTTAAGTGAGGGAGAAGTGAGTTAAATAGTGTTTCAGATGACAAGAGAGAGAAGGAAAAGCAATTCCTTTTAACGCAATCAATTCTAAAATGCCAGAAAGAGATTGGCATGCAATGCTCTAAAGTGGTTCTCAAAGTGTGGTCCCAGACCATGAGCATCACCTGAGAACCTATAAGGAATATGGATTCTTGAGCCCCACCTCAGACCCACTGAACTCTGAGCATGGGGCTGGGCCATCACGGTTTAGTAAGTCCTGCAGGTGATTCTGATTCACACTCAAGTTGGAGAACCACTGCTTTAAATCTTCACCCTTGGAGGGAAGCTTCCCACTCCTGTGTCATTTGGGCCTTGAATGGGTTACAGGTGTGATGGTCCCCCCGGCCCAGGAGGGAGGAGACACAGGCAGTCCTGTCTTTACCCTACTTTTTGTTATATATTATTTTCTGAACTTTGTGAAGGGAAAACAGGCCAGAAACCACTGCCTTAGGGAACCCAGGAACTTCTTCTCACTTATTTAATTCAATTTTTTAATTGAAGTATAGTTGACTCACAGTGTTGTGCTAATCTCTGCTGTACAGCAAAGTGACTGTTATACACATAGAGACATTCTTTTTAAATATTTTTTCCACTATGGTTTATCCCAGGAGGTTGGATATAGTTCCCTGCACTATACAGTAGGACCTCGTTATTTATCTATTCTAAATGTAATAGTTTGGGACTTCCCTGGTGGCTCAGTGGTTAAGAATCTGCCTGCCAATGCAGGGGACATGGGTTCGATCCCTGGTCCGGGAAGATCCCACATGATGCAGAGCAACCAAGCTCGTGTGCCACAACTACTGAGCCCACACGCCACAACTACTGAAGGCTGTGCACCCTAGGGCCCACGTGCCACAACTACTGAACCCGTGTGCTGCAACTACTGAAGCCTGTGTGCCTAGAGCCCGTGTTCCGCAACAAGAGAAGCCACCGGAATGAGAAGCCCACGCACCTCAATGAAGAGTAGCCCTGGGGCTTCCCTGGTGGCGCAGTGGTTGAGAGTCCACCTGCCGATGCAGGGGATGCAGGTTCGTGCCCCGGAGAGGCCACAACAGTGAGAGGCCAAAAAAAAAAAAAAAAAAAAAAAAAAAAAAAAAAAGAAGAGTAGCCCGGCTCACCGCAACTAGAGAAAGCCCAATGCAGAAAGCCCAAAGCCAATGAAGACCCAATGCAGCCATAAATAAATAAATAAATAATACCAAACAAACAAACCAATAAATAAATGTGATAGTTTGCATCTACGAACCCCAATCTCCAAGTCCATCCCTCTCCCTCCCCCGCTCCCTCTTGGCAACCACAAATCTGCTCTCTATGTCTGACTTCTCACTTATTTAAAAAAATCTGGTAATAACAATAATACTAACATTATTTTAACAGCAGAAATGATTACTTATTGGATTATATGATGTGCTAAGCAATTTACATATGATTTTTTGTTGAAATCTTACAACCACCCTGAGTTAGTGATTATTATTAGCCCCATTTCACAGATAGGGGAACAGGGCTTGTAGAAGTTGAGACCCTCAAGGTCATCCGGTTAATAGAACACCGGGTGGTGTGTACACCCAGGTCTTTCTAACCCTATGATGCCTGTGCTCTTAAAGGTCAAGGTTAATACCACTGCTTGTAACATTGCTCTGTGACAGGCATTATTTTAAGCACATTACATGCTTCTTCAATTATTACAACTATGATTATTCCCACTTTACAAATGAGGAAACTGAGGCTCAAAGAAATTAAATAACTTTCCCAAGGGCACAAGCTGGTAAATTGTGGAACCAGGGTTTGAACTCAAGAATTCTGGCTCTAGTTGAATGTTCTTAACCGTCAGGAAAGCCTCCCAGTCCTTGGAGGATGGAGACAGAGGTGCTATGGTGACCACTTAGGGATAAAATTACTTAACGACTCCCACTGCTGCGGGAGTGTGTGCGGTGGAGGGGATCTCTGGCTGGGCGCTGTCATGGAGTCTATTTGCTCTTTGCTCTCCTGTTTCCGGCTCACACCTGCCACTCCGGGGCCCGGCCACGGTGCTGGCCGCACATAAGTCAGGCGCACGTGGAGCTGCTCTGCCGCTGAACAGGCTCTGGCGTACAGCTGCCTGTGGATTACATTCTTTTACGCACACAGCATCAGAGACTGGAGCCTCCTCCTGCGGCCTGTCCCCAGACCTCAGGGCCACGAATACAGTGAGACCAGCAGTGAGACAGGAGAGGGCAGTGCCTCTTCCAGCTAGAGTAACTGCCTTGGAGGCCTAACCACCCCCATTTGCCGTTCTGGTCAGAAGCGTGGGTTTGTGTGTGAGGAAGTTGGGATCCTGACCTTCAGGACAAGATGAGAATAGCTTAAACAATCAGAGGGCACTTTCTGGGATGTGTGCAATTTTTCCACACACACACCAGCTGGAGTGGAGTGAGGAAAGCAGGGCACTGGGGAGGCGGGGTTGACACAAAAGCCTGAGTCCCGAGTTCATCTCTAATTTTGTAGTCAGTATCCTGAGGCTCACCTGGGGCCCTTCTGTTGTTGATACTGGCAACCCCATCATCCCCTCACATTCCCTGCTATTGACATGGATTGGTTACCTTGCTTCCTCTTCCTCAAATGGAAAGGTCTGAAGTTTCTATTGAACAGTAGGCCTCTTGAGGAGGAGGAGGTAAGCTTCTGACACAGCTAGGGGAATGCCACTCCAGAAGCCCCTTGGTATCAATAACTGTACGAATCTGTGGATCTTAGAGGGTTCTCTTCCTTCCAGTCTAATCTTGCTGTGCACATCAGATCGTTTGGAAGGGTCTGGGAGATGGGTGGGGCAAACGCAAAAATGGGGCTGGTGGGGTTGAAAATCATACAAAAGGAGCTGGACAGGAGGACGGAGGCTGCTGTGCAGTGACAGAAACCGAGGTGGTGTGACACAAAGTGGTGGCAGGCCGTGATCGGTACCCAAGGGATCCACTTCTAAATCAAATGGCAAAAGCTCCTTGAGGGGCAGGATCTATATCTTATTCATCACTGTACCCCTAATATGCAGAATAGATCCTGGCACAAAATTGGCACTCAAGAAATATTTGATGAAAGGAAGTACTGAGACCTGCTACAACATGGATGGACCTTGAAAACATAAGGCTAAGTGAAAGAAACCAGTCACAAAGGACCACCATATATCATATGATCCCATTGATTTTAAATGTCTAGAATAGGCAAATTTATAGAGACAGAGTGTGGTTGTCTAGGGCTAGGGAGGATGGGGGGATTGGGAAGTAATGGCTACGGGGTGCTGGATTTCTTGGTGGGGTAGTTAAAATGCTCTAAAATTGACTGTGGTGATGGATGTGAATATACAGTCGATGCTTGAACAACCTGGGTTTCAACTACACAGGTCCACTTATATGTGGAGTTTTTTCAATAGCAAATACGTAATATGTGTTTGGTTGAACCCGCAGGTGCTGAACCCACGGATGCAGAGCCATGTATATGGAGGTACTGTGTATATGGAGAGCTAACTGTAAGTTATACTTGGATTTTCCACTGCACAGAGGGTCGGTGCCCCTAAGCCCCTCCCTGTTCACTAGTCAACTCTACTCTGTAAATATACTTGACTAATTGATTTAGGGAAGCTGGGCATTTAAAAAATTATTATTTAGATTTTACTTTTTTAGAGCAGTTTTAGGTTCACAGTGAAATTGAGGGGAAGGTGCAGGGATTTCCCATACACCTCCTGCCTCCACACGTGCTCAGCCTCCCCCAGATCAACATCCCCCACCAATGGTACCTTTGTTACAATCGTTGAACCTACATTGACACATCATCACCCAAAGTCCACAGTTTAGATTTACGATTCACTCTTGGTGTTGTACATTCTATGGATCCGGACAAATGTCTAATGACACGTATCTGTCATGTATGATATAATACAGAGTATTTTCCTAAAAATCCTCTGTTCTGGCATTTTTCAGAAAACAAGATTTTTGCTATACTTCCACTTGCTGCCTTAGCTCAGGTTTTCGGTTAAATAAGTGAAAGTTAACTGAGGCATAGCCCAGCTACCTCATTTGGTTAAAAAACGTGAATGACAGTGAAACCAAACACAGAAATTAGAGGGTTCTAACTATTTCTACCAAGTCTTCCTGGTGCTGGACTAATCTTGAAAACCTTCTTTTAGCATAAGTAATACAATTTATCCCTCCCTCAATTGGGCTTTATCACCTGCATGTTTTCCAGTCTTGAACTTCAAACCCCTTTATCACAAGTCGCTGTCAAACTTGCCCCATATTTTCTCAAAATTTCCTCTAGGGATATTTCTTTGTGTACGTGCCTGTGTGTGTGTGTGTGTGTGTGTGTGTGTGTGTGTGTGTGTGTTTGCCTCTTCATCTCACCACCTCCCAACTCTATCTGCAGACCATAAAACTCCCCACAGAAACCACCAAAGATCATTTGGCTTCCTTTTGGAAATGCAGAAAGTATTATGTTTTTGGGCAAATCCCAAATAGACCCCTCTCCAAATGCCAGTTTCTTCCCTATCAGTTTCATTCTCCCCTAATGGTATGTTTGTTTGTATACATTTCAGGTTTCTCTCAGAAGCCTGGGCCAAAGAGGGGGCTGGGTTGACTTCAAAAGCCCAGGAGACATACCTGGCTGCTTTCTGAGTGAGCTCCAGAGGGAAATCTGGGCACAGCAATTGCAGCAAGCAGTGATATTCCCTCATGGTCAGCAAATCTGGAATGGAAATGGATAGGAACACATTAGGTCTCTGCATGTGAAGTCACTGCTGTCTTTTTGATCATTTCATGGATTTCAGACCTACTCTCAGTAGATCTGCTCTTTTAAAGGTGAGTCAGTGTTAAGGCTGCATTAGCCGCTAACCCTCCAAGGGTGAGATTTTAAGATCACTATTTCTACAAAGTTTTTCCTGGATGGGAGGCACCCAGTACAACATTTTGGCCAAAGGGGCTTCACTGGTTTGAAAGATGGTCGGGTAAGAAGGGGGAATTAGAGGGGTAGCTTTATTAGCCTTCTTATGTATGAAAATCCACAAGAATGAGTCATTTCAGAGCTGGCTAAGTTTGCTGAAATTCTCTGGCATGGTAACATTCACCACAACATGCCCAAAGACCATCCACAGAATATCTGCAAAGCAGTATTAAGGCAAATGCAGTCTTGCAATGTATGGAGAAGAATACAGCATAGCAAAACCCCACAGACCTTCTTACTCTGTCACCCAGTATTGTGCAGGCTGGCTCCTTTTGGATGCCTGCACACAAATCTGGTCATCCTATTCTAGGAAGCCAAGACAAAGGTCCAAGATATACAATCTAGGCAACCAAGTGACTCCTGATATACAGAAGCAGTGCTTTGGGAGAGCTGAGCCAGGATGAGGCTCTGTGGCCCAGTAGAAAACCCAGAGAGGCAAATCTCAGGGGGGTTTATAGAATGCCAAGGGAGAGGAAATACACTGATGTTTAAAAGTTGTTTTGTTACTGCATGTCCCAAAGCCAAGAGATTTTAGATCAGTCAGGCAGCTGCAATCCACAAGTATTCCATATACCAAAGCATTTCAAATATGGAACGACGTGCTGATGGTAAAGCAAGATCAAGCAACCCAGAAGCCCTCCTAACTGGGAGCATGAGTGAGAGAAGGGAATCCAGAGGGCATGGCCACATTTAGGGAATGAAGATGATGATCACAGGCACTTGGTTTCTTTGGACCTAAGTTAGCTCAAGCCACAGGAATCCAGATCTCCTGTCCCTGATAGTTTGGTTGATGCTTTTCCAAGATAAAAACCCCAAATCCCCAGGGACAGGCCTGGGTTCCTACTACTTTTTCATCAAGGCTCAATTCAAGGTGGGGGCATAGAGTTAGACTAACCACACTGCCAAAGTCAGGGACACCAAAGCGACAGACTCAGCGTCAATGTAGGTCAAAGGATCAAGATGGCTTTTGCGGCCTTCGTCTTAGCCACAATGGGGTGTGCACTTTCCTCTCCTCGCTTGCCTGACCTAGGGCACAGCCTAGTAGGAGGTTTTGTTCTTCAAGGGAAGGAATAAGAGCCACTTGTGGGTTCGCAGACTTGGGGTGAGGGACAGGAAAGACGAAAGGGAGAAAAGCCACTGAATCTAATATGTTCCCACTTTATTCTCACTTCAAAACCCCCTGTATAGAGAGAAGTGAGTTCTGGCAGGAACTAAATAAAGGAAAGTTCTATCTTTGAATCATTAATGCTTTTTTTCCTTTCTTTCTCAAAATTAATTAATTAATTAATCTATTTATTTTGGCTGCGCCCAGTCTTAGCTGCAGCATGCGGGATCTTCGTTGTGGCATGTGGGATCTTTAGTTGCAGCACGTGGGATCTTTAGTTGCGTCATGAGGGCTTCTTAGTTGCGGCATGCATGTGGGATCTTAGTTCCCTGGCCACGGATTGAACCCAGGCCCCCTGCATTGGGAGCTTGGAATCTTACCTACTGGACCACCAGGGAGTCCCCATTAACGCTTTTCTAGGCTAAGATTTGGTGGATGGATCTGATACCATTCTTGGGGGGGGGCGGTCAAAGTATTTCACAGTTATTCATATTTATCCCCCAAATTATCTACAAGATATCCTTGGGAAGACAAACAGAATAAAGGAAAATGAGAAGCCGAGAGAGTTGTATGACCCCCTTATTCAATCAAGAAAGACAGTGCTGGAAATCGATCTCAGCCTCCTGGTTTCCAGACCCTCAGCTCTCTTTTAGGTTCTTGATGATATTCTAACTCATGTGCTTCAAATACTTGCTTCCTAAGCTTAGAAGAATGATTTACAAAAATAATTTTGTACTTCTCCAATGCAACAACAGTTCTTGGAAATACTAAATACATCAGCAAAACAGAATACATCCTGTTCACCACTTCTGGAACTTGACTATCCCCAATGTAAAGTGAGGAAGATAGTCAGATAAAGAGATGAACGGGAAGTGCAGGCAAATAAACAACTTTGGCCAGTTTAATTGTGGAAGACAGCAGTTCTATTAAAGTAGAAGTAGGATAATATCAAGGCCAGATAATTTCAAGGGAGAGGCATCTGCCACTTGGAGACGCTCCTGGGTTGTACAGTGGGTATTTGGGAGAATGGTGATCACTAAGCGTTGTTCCAAAATCAGAACACTGATGAACAAATGGGAGCTGTCCTCCTCCTGTCCCCCTGGCTTGGGTTCAAATCTTGGCTCTGCAATTTCCCAGGTATCCAACCTTGGGCAAACTGCTCAATCTCTCTAAATCTCAGTTTTTCATCCGTAAAATGGGAATGATGACACCTACCTTTCAGGGTTGAAGTCAAGATCAAAAAAGATGATGTCGATAAAGTACTCAGCAGAATGTCTAGAACATAGTAACACCAAACAACAGGAGCTATTTGGTTTTGTTTTTAAATCCTGGGGGCAAAGGCAGGAGAGGAGGAAGGTGCTTCTTGCTTAGTTTAAATGCTTAAACCCCTTTAAAGTTTTTCTGCCTTGAAAATTCAGTCAGATTGCTTGAGCCGAACCTGTTTTTGAATACTCTTCTTCAGTCTGCATTCATTTAATGCCTCCTCCGTTCCCAACAAGCCAGCAGTCTCCCCAGCTCCAGAGGCTCACACTCAGGCATTGGTTAACCCTAAATGCTCTTGCCTACTTTGGGTCCTTTGGCTCTAAGAGCTCTCCAAGATCTCAAAGATCTGCCTTCCAGGCAGCCCTTGGTGCTTCAGGAATAACAGTAGTGAGACTGACTAGTCACTGAGCTCTGTGCTCAGGCTTTGAATTAGCTCACTTAACCTTCACAACAACCTCACAAAGTAGACTCTAGTATTCCCAGCCGCATTTCACAGATGAGGGCAGTGGAGGCGTAGAGAGATGAAATCATCTGGTAAGTGAGGAGAGAAGGGTCCAGAGCCTGGGGGACAGGAAGGGGACTTGGCTTCCCAGAGCAAGATCCTAGGCTGGGGTCTAAGGGCTGGATGGGCTTAATTAACGATAATAATACTAACAGTTAACATTTACTGAGCACTTACTATGGGCCAGACACTGATCTTCCAAGGGTTTTACCTGTGCCATCTCATCTTATCTAATCTTCACTATGGTTATCCCCATTTCACAGACAAAAACTCAGATCATGCTTAACTGCTGGAACTGGAATTCAAACTCTGGCAGTCTGGCTCCAAAGTTTACCCAACTAACAGTTTCCGCACCTTGATCTTATCAACCGTAATGTGTGAAGGCTTAATAGCTTGTCCTCCTCCCCAAACAAACTGCAGGAACTAAATAGCTCCAGGTGAACTGGATCAAGGAGACAATTCAAGTGAATTGGGATTTTTTCATGTAAGAAATTAAGTCTGAAAGGTTCTAATTACTGTCAACAGGAAAGACTGCAGCTCCAGCACCACAGCCTTTGCTGAGCCGGAGGCCACGGGAAGGTGGGGGATGAGTACACCTGTGCTGGTGGCTACACAGCCATTCCTCATCCCCGCCCACCTGCCAGTGCTCTCCATCCTGGCAGGTGCAGGGAAGGTAAGTGGTGTGTACCAACAGATGCCTTCTCTAAAGGAATCCCCCCACAATTAGGAAAGCTTCAGCCAGCAGGTCCTGAAAGTTCAAAGGCAAAGACATAAGACAACTTTGGTATAATGAGATCAAAATCAGAACACTCCCCACAAATTGGTGCTTCTCTTTTTGTGGGTGGTCAGAGCTGTTAAATTTTCTTATTCTAAACCTTGTAATAGTCCCATTGACTGTGTGGCTCTGGACCAGAGGTTTCTACACCCTCAATCCTATCATTCAGGAGGCAGCACAGTACAGCACTGTGGCTCATAGCATGGACTTTAGAGTTAGACTGCCTGGGTCCAAATCCAAGCTTTGCCACTGATTTCAAATTACTGACCTTTAAGTGCTCTATACCTCAGTTTCCCCATCTATAAAGTGGGTATAATGGTGGTACCAACATCATTCAGTTGTTGTGAGCTAATGTTAAGAACTAAGAATAGGGCTTCCCTGGTGGCACAGTGGTTGAGAGTCCGCCTGCCGATGCAGGGGACACGGGTTCGTGCCCCGGTCCGGGAAGATCCCACATGCCACGGAGCGGCTGGGCCCGTGAGCCATGGCTGCTGAGCCTGCGCGTCCGGAGCCTGTGTTCCACAATGGGAGAGGCCACAACAGTGAGAGGCCCGCGTACCGCAAA